CTGTGAATTATAACTTCAATGATGTGTTGACACGTGATCTAAGCTGGATGTCAACGTGTCAATATAAACTTACTGAGAAGTATATCATAACAAGCAACATCATACTCCAGCTGTGAATTATAACTTGAATGATGTGTTGACACGTGATCTAAGCTGGTTGTCAAGATGTCATTGTAGTCTTCTGGATGGCAATGTGTCATTGTAGTCTTCTGGATGTCAATGTGTCATTTATCCAGAAGACTACAGTGACATCTTGACAACCAGCTTAGATCACATGATAGATTAGAAGACTACAATGACACGTTGACATCCAGAAGACTACAATGACACATTGACATCCAGAAGACTACAATGACACATTGACATCCAGAAGACTACCTACAGTGACACCTTGACAACCAGCTTAGATCACATGATAGATTAGAAGACTACAATGACACATTGACATCCAGAAGACTACAATGACACATTGCCTCTTCTAACCTGTCATGTGATTTAAGTTGAACATCAAAATGTCAATGTTGTCAACTAATCTATCATGTGATCTAACCTGGATGTCAACATGTCATCTAATCTATCATGTTATATAAGCTAGATGTCAAAATATCAATGTTGTCTTCTAACATATGTGATCTAAGCTGAACATCAACATGTCATTGTAGTATTCTAATCTATCATGTGATCTAAGCTGAATGTCAATGTATCATAATAATTTCATTGGCTCATCATAAAATTAGTGGAAAAATTTATTTTAAGAAACATACCCGACTATAAAGTTTGAATTAACTGGTAATCAGAGTTGGGAATCAAAATTACTACAATATACACCATACTCTGATGAGGAAGTTCAGGTATCAATTATATTTACTAAGGAAAATAATGATGGCTGTCTATCTTATGTTTATTTGTTTAGGAGTTTTACACATATATTTAAGCAGAATGCTAAACACCGAGAAAAAGAAAGCTTCCTTATAACGTAGAATGTACCCTTATACAATGGATACCTCACACATACGAGTGTGGATACTCCATCTACTGGATAAAACCTTTATTTACAAACTCGTGATAAATAAACTCGAACTTCAAAAACTAGAAAAAATTAAAGCTGTGAGTGCTCAAGACTCGCAAAGGGGGTGATAATTTTATCTAAAGTTGTAACTAAATATAAATCATTAGGGGGTGATAAGTTTATCTAAAGTTGTAACTAAATATAAATCATTAGGGGTGATAAGTAAAGTTTATCTAAAGTTGTTACTAAATATAAATCATTAGGGGTGATAAGTTTATCTAAAGTTGTAACTAAATATAAATCATTAGGGGTGATAAGTTTATCTAAAGTTGTAACTAAATATAAATCATTAGGGGTGATAAGTTTATCTAAAGTTGTAACTAAATATAAATCATTAGGGGGTGATAAGTTTATCTAAAGTTGTAACTAAATATAAATCATTAGGGGTGATAAGTTTATCTAAAGTTGTAACTAAAAAATAATCATTAGGGGGTGATAAGTAAAGTTTATCTAAAGTTAGTTACT